GGTAAGAAAAGGGATATCGGAGGGTATAATTAGCGATAAGTGAATGTATTGGGTTGACAGTCCCGGAAAGGGGATCATTGGTAAATGGAACAAAGTTGGTGGGCTCAAGTACTAAACCTTGGGGAGCATCTGCAATCCAAGGGAACGGCTGATATAAAACCCGAGCAGATAGGGTTCGCTTGCTGTGGAAACTTGATATACTTAATACGAGGCCAGAGGGAACTCAGATATGAGTAATAGACCTTTCTGTCAAACGTGGTTAGTTGAGCTCAATTGTGTTTCTCCGTGGTTACCAAGTGCCACGGAGGTGGTTGGTGAGACGAAAGTCCTCAGTAGAAAGACGCTGTCCGAATCCTGGGTGGTCACTCAGTGGTCTTTCGCGTTCGAGGAACTCACGCAGTTGGTAGGAAATAATGGCTTCAATTACTTTCGAAAGAGCAGATGTGAGCCTAATCAGTAATCATTGAGATCATAAAAGCCACTGCATTTGGGAATTAAAAAAATTGCGGCTTGTTTCCAATAGGTCGGAAAAGTTGAAATTTGATGGCGAAGACGAAAAGATAACGTGCAATCAGCTTAATCGGAACACACGTTTTGAGGACAATAGGTGTTATACCGTCTTGATTGGCTGGGTTGCGTATTCTCAGAGAGCANAAGTGCTCTTCATGTTGCTAACACGAAGTAGGAAAAGAGTATCAGTGGAATAAAAAAAGGTTGGAAGAATAGGATAATTGAACAAATTGAGTTTATCGGTACCCCGGAAGCTGAACCTTAGCTTTCTGGCGTTTTGGTCCGGACGAATTACAATTAATGAGAGTAGGAAGGGGGGGGGAAATTCCAGGAATCTCCTTCGGCAAAGGATCGAAATACTCGACTATCGGTACTGGATGAGACCAAGTCCTCGGCTTAACAGCGGACGAGTCGTTCTTTTGGTTCTTTGTATGATCATCGAGCACCTGATCCTAGCTTTCACGAAACGATAGTTGGTAGGTACGAGTGGGTAAGAGAAGGAAGTTTGAGGGTTTTAATCACATAACAGGAACACGTGCGTGGTTAAAGTCCGGGAATTCGGGTTTGCCGAGTTAGAAAAGGTTTGTAATACAATGGTGTAAACCTCAAAGAATCATGTCGGTGAAGTTGAAAACTTCTGAAGCTACACAGCAATCTTTCCAAGGATAAAAAGCAATAACCGTACCAGTTGGTTGAGTTTCAGAACCAATTTTTGTGTCCCGAGGTATGTAACAGATCGGGACGAGTAAAATTGATGGAACAGGAAACAACAAACAGTGATCCGATGGGCCCAGCAGAGGGAGAGTGACTGTTTGAGAAGTGGCCAGGTCGATCAGGGACACTTGTGGGGAGGTTAACTAGCCAATTCGATTTGTTGGCCAAGTTGAAGTGCTTGTCTCCGCGCCCCCCAAACAGAGTATCACAAAATACGTCAATCACCCCTGATTCTGAACATTGGAATCCCCCAAGATGATGTGACAGTTAGGGTCCGTAAAAAGCAAGTGTTCAGTGTTAAAAGAGAAATACTAACAAACTGCGTGATCCTCCAGGTACCTCCGTTTCAGTCATGCATTTTTATTAGCCAAGCGAACAATTAGTGATGAGTATTGGCAATTAAGCCGGGCTTTCCTCTAGCGAAATCGCGTGCTCTGAACTCACAGATCAGGATTCGGATCACCATCAGCGGCTTTTGTGCTGCGGTCCGACCCATATCCATCTACGGATGTTTAACTTGGCCACTGCGAGCGCACTGACTTGGCTTCCATCGAGGTTTACCGTAATCCGTTTTGTTTGGAGTTGACACGTATCTGCAGATATATCTCACCTATTCATTTCCATCCAGCGATGGTTTAGTTAGTTTTGTTCCTTTCTGTAAGATTTGAGTTTATTAGGATGGTAATTTGAGTATTGATTCGTTCTCCTGTGTCCGCTGTCGATAAATGTGTATTTCTCTTGTACACTACTGTTAGTAGTGTAATTACTAAAGTGAATTATTTTGCGATAATCCACGCACAGTCGATTCTTATTCCCAAACATAAAAATAATAGCGACAGATGAAACACAATCTAATCATACTCGGGCCAAGATTCTTAGCTCTAATTATACTGTTTTTTGAGTCTATATATATGTTTACATTTCTGAATCCAAACTGTGTGCCAAACAAATCACAGTCTTCATGAAAAGATAAAAGTTCCATGGTTAGCATGTGGGCGGATTATTACCGGGTGGCCCAGGCTTGCTCAGGTGAATTTTCTTAGGAATTCACAACCGAGATTTCGGCTAGCCAATTTCTGACCCGCAAGGCAGTGGGGCAATGTGTAAAAACCGCAATCCATTTGGGGAAGATGTCCAGTGCAAAATCCATCACACCACTTTGAGTTGCAGTCTCGTGGTGGTTGGTCAGAGTCCATTTCATTATGTGTAATTGCATGTGAGCTGCCCTGGTATCTTCTGGATGGAGTTCTAAGTGATATTGCTACAGCATTGTAATTGTTTGGGAGTAGCATACTCTGTGAGCTAATGAAGAAAAAATGTGAGTGCTGTTCGATGAAGGAGAGAATTAGGTGGTGAATACTCACCAACTATGAGGAACCGATCATGATTGGATTTATTCTTTGAGCAGTGTCGATATCATACCCGCATTATTTTAGAACAAACGGAGCTAATGCATCGGTAACTGCTGTCATAAGGGGTTTTTTAGGATCGCTGTTTGTCATGGCAGCCAACCGACAACACCGGTGTTCTCACTATCATTTATTTACAGGTCAGAATGCATGACGCGATAAGTGCTTAGCTAAATGTTGTGCCCTTTATTTGTTAACTAGATGTTTCTCATCCTCTCCTTTTCTTCAAAACAGGCCCACTCTCTATACCCCTTGCGCAGTACAATTCACATTGTGTGTACTGTTCCTTCGGCACCGATCAGCGAGGTTCGCTTCACGCTATTTTGCTGTAAAATTATGATGATAATCAAGGTGGTCTTATGTAAGTTCGCTGGGTTCGCTGCGGCACAAACAAGTGACGAGCATCATATTGTGCATTCCGTACGATAAACTTGAACATGTGTGTATGCTCGTCTCGGCAAGTTTTAAACAGACCTTGTTAGCTCAGGTTCTCTTTACAGGAGTTCTAACCCTAATTTCAGGATCATGTTGCAATGCGGCCGGTCAACATAATGTAGTCAGGGTGTTCGTTACCAGTGCCACTCTAATATCAGCTGTGGAGCGACATATATCAGGTCATAAAGTTCTGAAGTGAAATAATTGAAGGTAGAAAATATGCGATTCGAATCGAACATGTCAGCTCAAGATTTCAGTGTTTTTTTCTGGTGAACGCACGTTTTCAAAAATACGATTTCACGTCTTCGACGAATGCTGTACTTGACCGCTTGTTTGTCGGGTGGTCCATTACAGCCATTTTCGTAGCTTCTAAATGTAAGGCCCTGTGAAACGAAGAAAGAAATGATCTGATCGATTTAGAGTGACATAGTTTTAATGCACGCTCCGTGTACATTATTTTGTCATTCTAATGCATTCAGGTCGTTTTTAACTGATTTCCTCCAAACTGCATGTACAGATAACTATAAACAGACTGATTTGGCCCATATGTGGATCAAAACAGAATGTCGTTTACTCACGTTCGCGCAAGAGTAGTTTCATTCAGTTGTCTTTCAAGCCCGTGACTGTAATGCAATGCATATAGCCGTTGGTAACGGTAAATACTCAGGAATATATCATTACAGAAATATTGGATTCGATCCAATTAATTTGAAGAAAGGAACTGGGATTTACTTTATATCACAGTTCAACTAATGGAAAATGCATATGAAAAAATACGACCAAATCCTCACAATCCCTAAAAATCTCTCTCGGTAGAGGACTATGGTGGTTAAATGGTCATCTTGAGAAAAAGTGTTGCCAGAGTTTGTGCAGTGTAGATTATTCCGTAATACTGGGATTTCTCTCAGGGTTACTCTGACGGTCAACTCTCCAGTGCTTTACAACCGACAGAGAAATAACGCCGAATTTCCATTTTTTAACGGGGCTTATGATTATCAATGCTGTCAGTCCAGGGTCCATTCTTTTCTTCCGTCAGTCTATTACATAAAGCAGTTGCTCCCGTGAATGGCCACATTTCTTTCCTTTCTGGTTCAAAAACCGTCTTTTACCTTCTTTCGTTCACTATTTACGTAATGCGTGTTTACCCTTCACTCACCTTGTACAGCACGATGTGACTTCAAAATAGAGTTTCATTAAAAAGGTAGTGCCCTCTTCTGCACACGTTCGCATTATTTGCCTATAATATCCAGTTCGTTGAACAAACAAATCGTGTAGTTTCAATTCATTCAACCTCACTTATTTCGGTGACCTTGGTTAGTTGCATATTGTTTATTTTAATCGTCGCTCACAATGCAATATGGCTGATGTAATGACAAGTTGACGTGGTGCGCCATGATATGCATGCCACCGAATATGCCTCGTGTCTCGTTCGTGACTGAATTGTTTCAGCGCTACGTGTGTCTACCATCGGTATCCTGTAGTCACTCCCTTTAAATGTTTTTATGCGTTTTATATAAACCGTGAATGTGTTCCGCACATAATTTCGTCCCTGTGTTGTTGATTAGTTGAATCGAGTTTGGATACGCCATGTTCCGTATCCATTTTACTATTTTTTCACAATAGAATGAATCATCTTGAGAATGTTTTTTGTTGTTTCGATCCCATAGAAATTGATTAGTTTTCCCGATGTGGTTTGTATTGCACATTAGCTGACGGTTGCAATTCATCTTTGTTTATCGATCTATCAGTAGCAAACCATGCAGTGAAATGTTTGGTGAACGCCTGTACCTCATCCGTTTCGTACCAGTTTGATTCAGTATTTAGTTGGTTATGAAATCGATTTGAATTTCAACCTGTTTTTCTTACTTTGACTTTTTCCGTCTGTTACACGATCGCCATTGGTTGTTATTTTTCATTATTCCAGTCTGAACAATGTGCTATCGTATGTTATCGTTAAAACGGTTGTGCGCTTGTGCAGGGCTTATCATCAAACGCCGGGTGATGTGAGTTCATAATCAACGTTCTCTTGTAAAGTATTCTTTCATCATCTGCTGCAGCATATGCACTAACAGGATTCGTCGATATCTAACGGGGCTTGTGGGCAAAATTGCTCAAACAGATTCCGATTCATGCCGTTTATCTCGATGTCTGATAAGTGTTCACTTGAACGCCATGCACTAATACATTTCATTTGTTTCATGACCGGCACGATTAAGTGGTTTCAACTCCAGAAGTTTCTTAGACTCTGGGTAACTTTTATCACACAAATTGTAACAAATACTAATAGTGAGAACCTAATATTTCTTCCAGGAAATCTGACTGAGAAATCAGAGATCCCAGTAGGTTAAGCAAGTCATTTGTTGTGGACTAATATAAACATCAATTACTTGTCGTTATGTCGAGTTACTCGAGAAGAAAACTGTTCGGATTAGTTTTAATTTTGTACACCGAATTTGTGTGACAAATTTACCTTTTGTGGTCAACTGTTCCCATTAGTTGCACAAAGATAGTTCCATGAACCGCAAGGAACAGATCTATTCGAGTGTAGAGAGATTTTTCAAAAGTTTCTCGTCCCATTGTCATTCACTGTGTGACGAATTTCATGTTCAACAAGGGTAAGGGATTAGCATTGATTTTTGCAGTTTTTTTTTTGTGGAGTGGACTGACAAAGCTGTGCTTAATCAGTAGCATCATCAACCCTGTCTGGTTTCGAATCAACTTCAGTTCGCTCAACCACTATCGTCTCTCTTTCCTCCTTCCGTTTTAGTTTTTACCTTTGTAATGCCCCTTCGGCCCAGTAATGACCAAGAAAAAACTGCAAAATTAAAATTATACTAAGGGCTGTACCCACGAATGTGGGTAGTTGCCTGAACACCGCTGATCACGACAACCGTATCACCGATTGTAGCTTACTGCTTTAGTTTCAAACCACACGGCATGGTCATTTTCAGTTTATGCAACCATTAACCGCGCAGTTTTGTTTGACAGCTTTAGTTGCCTTCTTTGGCTGTCCATTCGAATAAAGTATTGGGGGAGGGAATTAGAAAGCACAAAGCAGTACCAGAGTGAAAACATGAGATAAATTTCACCTTAATTCGAGAAGAAATTAAGGCAAATGCAAAGGCATCAGTATTTGTCTCATTTTACAACCTACCATTCTTCGTGGTCATTCCCCAGGCTTTTGTTAAGCTAGCGTTCACGAAATTTGTACGTTTTCAAATTCTGTTGAAGGCCAGCAGAGCGGAAGAAGTCGAGATAGTCCATCGTTGATCTGATAGAAGCTTGAAAAGCTTCATCGGTTGGCTTACAATGTTCGATGAATTCTTCGGCAAGTCGTTGGATTGATCACCGTATCTTTGTTACTCTGGCTGTTCACTCATTCTATTGCTCACCACATAATTGCGTTTTACAAAAATAATAATTCGCATTTCAAATTCAGCCTCCCTTAGTTGGTAATTCCGTTTATTCCTTAAACCCGATATATTTTGCGTGGCACTGCCGGTTCCTATTCCCATATTCATCGACCTATATGGTCATAATATAAACAAATCGATTGAATCAGGTCATCATGCTCTCCCGCTGATCGAGAGAGTAGGTCATTAACTTCATAATCTGTTCTTGGGCGTTTCCACATTTACCTCTTATTGTTCCTGACTTTGAGATCAATCAGTGCGAGGTCACTGCCCTGTGACGGAAAAGTACACAGTGGATGTTTAGTGGTATGAAATGGACAATCGAAGTTTTTCGCTTAATTGTATTTTATAGGAAGTGTGCCAGTATAAGAACGGAATGCTGTATAAACGGCATTCACAAGACCTGTTGTCTGATAAACAACTGGGGCGTTATACTCCATTATTGCTGATATTTTTTCTTGATTTATGATAACCGGGAACGTAAGCCTTGGATAAGTATGTTTATCACTAAATGTAAGTGCCTGAAATTAAGTCCAAACCTAGGGACTTTAATCTACAACGTGCTAATGACAGCGATTTGAACCCCTATACAGCTGTTATTGGTTTAGAAACAAGCAGTAATACAAAAAGAAGTATTCACTCCTTCACTGAAGATCAAAAATATTAAACAAAATCATTTTCTATCTTCTTGTGGAAATACAACAAGATCATTACAGTGTGAATGTTACTGCAGCATAGATGACTTTTACATTGTACTTCAAGCCCTTGTGATAGTGAACTAAATGAAATGCTTTGTGAAATGAAAACATGGCTGAGGATCGGGCGAAACTGTTAGGGGAAGCTTATCTAGAAGATATAAATGCATGTCTGTCATTATTTTGGGCCTTCGATCGCAACCCCATTCTTATCTCAAAATAGACCCAAAGGAGTATTTTGTGGTGTGACTTACCTCGAAGTATATGCATAAAGATGACTTGACAAAACAGTACCAAGCACCCTTAATTGCTGAACGCAGAAGGCCTCCCGCCTCCCAAAATAGCTGTGCTTGCAGGAAACTATGTTCAGTCATTCATTCAATGCATACAGATCTAATCGATGCGATAGGCTTTTATGAACGTATGAATGACAATGATAGCAGGAAAAAAGTCCAGTCGTTGCTGATCAATTGGCGGCAACAACATGACAAACAAATCATCAGTTCACGTTTGGCCAAAGGCGTGATTTGTCTGCAGTGGTCATTGGGAAATTGCATTCGCTTGCAAACTGCTTTCATCGCTTCAGTTGCTTCATTTTGCTTTCAAATCCCAGTTTCTGTTTCGCTTCAACTGAACCTAATATTCCAGTAAGATCAATCGCATGCTTGAAATCCTTGGCCCGGTGTCCTTCGAACACAATTTTCCGATCGACGCCGACTGTAGTGTACTTTTATCATCCAACTTTACTTTCCACGTGATAATGGTTGACAGTTCGTTGCTGTTGTTATAAATCACCTTTGTTCTGTGTTCGTCCTCATCGGTTACTGCGTTTCTTTGATCTCATTCTATGCACCAAAAGACTGTTCAAATTTGCATACTCCATTGGAAATGACTGTTAACGGGGTGAACAAATCATTTTCTGCACACCCGCGTTTTGAGTGGTGTTTTAAACCATGCGGCTGTGTATCATAAACTGCTGTTTTTCTAATTATCGATTTATTCCACATAATCACCTAAGTGGCAAAAGGACTTAATGATTAGCATCAGTAGCTTGCTGCACTGGACTGACAATGTTTTCTTTGCGGATTGGGGAATTTAATTTCTTTGTTCATCCAGGTTAACTAGCGAAAACAATCAAATGGAACCAAATCATGTGATTGTCGTAGCTTACTTCCATTTTTATGCACACTGTTTTTCATCGGTATGCCTCAACTATACCTATTTTCTGACCAACGGCTTTGCTTGGCAGTTCTATTTAGGGACCTGTATGAATCAAGCCGGATCTACACTTATTCTTCAATCGATCGTGTCCATTCATTGATTTTTCACTAGTGGACTGTGGTTTATGGTATCGCTTGACCCCAATCGCGTGCTATCCAGTCACCATATCCGGCCATCGATTTTCCTGGGGTACAAAAAATACCGTACGCTCAATATAGTATTCCGTCGTTTGTATGTGCACGTCGGCCTATGTGTACGATAGCGATAATTTTGTTTATCATTGTTGTCTGTTTGTCAGCTTCTATATGGATTATTTATGATGCGACTCTTGATTATTTCTGTCATGTTCAAGTGCCTAGTGAACACAGTCGATCTGGACCGATCGAGGCGATGCTGGTTGTAATCTCATTCCGACAAACACTTGACACTCGTGAATGTTCGATCATCCGCATTGTGTAGCAGCTTGATTTTACCTTTTATTTATATATGCTCTCATACAGATTGCATTAGTTTCCGCACACAATCTGTTCTCGAGCGTCTGAAGTATTGAATATATAGATAGATTATAACAAGAACTGACAATTGAAAATCAATGAACGCAGTCCAGGTCACTTTAGTGACCAACGTATCTCAACCAGAAGAGTGGTGTGAATTCCAACATCATGTTCGCGTCGAATGCGCTTTCGGTGGGTGCTGTTCGCTTTTTCAAATCCGGATTCTATCGCGATCGGTTGCAGTCCTTTGCAACACGCCTTTTTAAACATTATCCACATGTACGCCTGGAATAGTTTATGTTATATCCAAACCCGTTTTCCCGCCCCGTATAGTCTTTTCGTTATGATGGTTACAGCAGTAGAAATTCTACGAAGGCATGTATATGTTGGGTCTAATACAATGCCTTTAAATTACCTTAGCGATCCCATCCGAAATTGTTTTCAGTGTGAACTGTGATACTGGTCTCATTGGTGTTTATCGGCTGGTGAAAACTTATGAAGTCGTTTGAACGCTCACAATCCTCAATGGAAGGTTTTCCATAAGTTTTATGCAAATCTTCCTGTTTTCGCGGCTTGATGCGCGTTCAGTTTCCTTTCGTAACATTTACTTTTCTCTAGCTGTCTCATTTATGACACTTCATCTAGTTTTGTCTTTTTCCCCTTTCTAGCATCTCGCTTGTCCTTATCGAATATTTGAATGGCACTCATTCTATGAAGCAAACTTCTTTGATTCAGTCATGGACACGCGCATTCAATCCGGCAGGTAGTCGTCGAAAATGCACAAGCTCAGACAGTGATCCACACCCTGTTTCTAAAGGTCACGATCATCATTTAAACGATGCTTTCGACTCAAATATTGATGATCGTGTTCTCGCCGATGCCTTGGACGAGCTTGATCCTTCCACTAATCCCGCTGCGTCAACCACCGACACACCCCAGTTGGAGGAAGAATCGGTTTCCATCAATCCATCCGCTATACAAGCGTTGCGGAAGCGAAAACCTTTAATATACCAACCCACTGCAAATGACAGTGACCAGCTAGGGGGTTTCGACTTAGATGCGGGACGCATTTGGATTTATCCCACGAACGCAACGTTGCGTGATTATCAATTCCACATCGTGGAACAATGTTTGTATAGAAATACCTTAGTTTGCCTGCCTACCGGTTTGGGTAAAACTTTCATCGCCGCTGTGGTCATGTACAATTTCCTTCGTTGGTATCCTACTGGAAAATCAGTGTTTCTGGCACCGACACGACCTCTGGTTGCTCAACAATTGTCTGCATGTCTTCGTTTGACTTGTCTATCGCCGAATTCCATGACTGAATTGACGGGATCTATCCCTCAGTGTAAACGGCGCGAACTCTGGTCTCGGCTACGCGTGTTCTTTCTAACTCCTCAAGTTCTAACCAATGACCTGGAAGCTGGTGTATGTCCCGCCTCAGATTTGCGCCTGATAGTCTTTGACGAAGCACACAAGGCAACGGGGAATCACGCCTACTGCCAAGTATGTAACCTATCCATGTATCCATACGTATAATTGTTTTGCATCGTCTTCCAACGGTCGTGTTATAATTCTTCAGTGAGAGAAATACCTTGTTCCGCATCAACAGTACAGTTTTCAACCTAATTCGCATATCTCAAATCTCCATGTTCGCCAATTGCAGTGGGACCGGGAATAGGCCTATAGCACACATCTTTATAATCTAGGATTTTGGACCTTGACAAGCCTATTCACGACACCCCAATGCCTCTATGGTAATGGTATCTGTATTTTTACAATCAGTTTGACACGGAAAGGCAATGTACAAAATTTCATTTCGTGTCAAAGAACTACTTGTTTTGACCATAGCATACTCCAACGGTACCTTATGCGGCAATCATGCTTGATCCCCATTGTCTTTTTCCGGAAGCAAGCGAACGTTGTGAATAAACATGAACAACAATCTATTAGAACAAACAATAATCAATGCGCTCATGTATTTACGCTTGTCAAAAATCTCCAACTTTTAAATCTACAATTCTTGCTTTCTCATCCTTATCGTTAGCGCTCTGTGCACTCTTGGTGGCTAGTGTAATAGCGGTTTGTCCCGATTTGTTAGCGAAAATCGGTTGAGTTTTCTTCTTCATCGCAAGTAAGAGTCTTGCCACCCAACTTTGGTAGTAGGCAGCTCTGATGTTGTCCGGTGTTATACCACGCCTAACCTAGAGGGGTCTTATGTGGTTCACCACTCCAAGTCCCGGAGCTTGGTTTGCAGGTTTCGGTCGCTCAGTAGCAAGTCTTGGATACTGTGAGGTCTACCTGGTCTGCTGTTCAGTACATAAAAATACGCTATTGAAAGGAGCGATAAGTTCCCTTGACCGCAAAGACCAAAATTGCAACAGATTTAAAGGAAATATTTCATAGAAACTGCTAATTTTGTCATCCTTTGTGTGATACGTATCCGCAGTTTTCAGTTTATTTTTACAGTCATGAACCTTAAATTTACTTGCGGCGGTTCCAGTTGCTGTTTTTCGACTGCTCATTTTATGAAACTCTGGTGAGATAGTAGGCGAATGTTGCAGTACTGGGACAAGTATACAGAATAGCGGATGCACGGGCGCTATTCGTATGACTGTGTTTCGAATCATAGACTAGGCTTATCCCGAGGTCTTCACGTCAACATAGCAGCGAATTAGACACTATTCATTTTCGGACTGACAGTCTATCATCAGCTGATGCACACTTACTTCCAACAGTGTATCAAACCGGTTTTCGGTACGAACAGCGTTTCGTGTCTTCTGCTCAGTACGTTAGTTCGCAGTGCTTAAAAGTGTTTGACTTAGACTGCATGCACTGCTACGTTGTTTGGTTAATTTATAGTGATAAAACATGTGATGGATGAGAAATTAGGCATATTTGCGAAAGTTTAGATATTTCTTGTACGTGTATTTTAGAACTCGAATCGAGAAGAACAGGTGCTGTCTGCTCGCCGAGTTGGCAGTTTGTTTATAGGCAACCTAAGTACCCTCTACATACTTTTAAAATTGACGGTGAGCAATTTTCATCATTCACTTATATAGGATGATTCTTTGACTGTTTTATTGGGTTTAAAGTGACCTCTCTTCCCGCGTCATCGTCTGCTTGAATCGCAACGGCACGTACATGTGAATCAGTTATCTTCAATAGCCTCATCCCAGTTTGCCGTCGAACTAGTCTTGACAAGAGATAAGTCCGGTCGTGACCCGATAACTGACCGAGGAACCGCACAAGCAGAACACCACAACACTTTATTTTTTGCTGCAAACTGAAATTAGAACAGTAGGAATAATTAAGTCAATTACCGAAGCGTCACATGCATATAAGAGAACAGACAGAGGAATAGTTCCACCCATATCGCAAGTACTGAATGTGGCACGTTTGCAAATAAACCGCACAGTAGCAGTATTACGCCCTCTAGCAAACCATGGACCTTTTTATTTTTATGAAGATTATTGCACCGTAATTTGTTTGACACAGTCTGAACTCAGGCGTGTGTGAAAATATATTTAATGTATAAACCACAAATCTCAGTGTATATGTAAGTCTGTACTGAGCAGCAACTAGGAACAACGATCTCTACGAGTTCCACTCGAGATACATTCTTAAATAAAAAATGTCAGCTGCAAAGGCGAGTTGATTTCGGTTTTCACTCCTCATCCAGATCTGTTTATTATTTTGTCGACCCGCTCTCCAGAGTGTACACTTTTCCTTTCCGTCACCATCATTTCAGGTGCTGCGACTGCTCACTGGCCCGCCGTACTTGCATCGCCAATTCCGCATTATTGCCTTGTCGGCCACTCCTGCCGCAGATATCCGGGGCGTTCAAACATTGATAGCCAATTTACTGATTTCTCACCTGGAAGTGCGTACAGAAACAAGTGAAGATTTGAAACAATTCACGCAAACGCGTCAGCTCGAAACAGTTGTGGTACCATTGGGTCCCGAGTTGCGTCGCTTCCAAAATCAACTAATAGCTTGCATCCGAACGCCTATTGAGCGCCTACAAATGCGAGGTGCGTTCGTGTCTGCCACAGGTGACTTACGTCCAGAACGCTTGGCCAAATACACCGTTATAAAGGCCCGTGAGGAATGGTCAAACAGTCAACAAGCTAGCGTGTTATCTCCGATCGATGCATCTTCTGTGCAGTGTGACTTCGGTTCGCTAATCTGTTTGATGCACGCAATGGAACTGTTGGAACAACATGGTTTACGTCCGCTATACCAATATTTGGCTGGAGTGCTAACTGGTCAACGTGGCAGTCCTTCAGTTCGAGCGGGTTTGCTTNTCTCCCCGGTGTTTCTCAGCTCTGGTCCGATCTCGCTAACCGTTTTTCTGTTGGAATAGGAGAACTCAGTGGCACACAATCGCCGTTTCATGGAGGTCATCCGAAATTGGACAAACTGAAACAACTGTTGTGCGAACATTTTCACAATAACTCCACATCAGAAAGCCGCGTGATTGTGTTTAGCCAGTTCCGCGATTCGGTGGAAGAAATAATACATATGCTGAAACAACTNNNCATTGACTGGTTATAACAAACAGGGTAACGCAGATCCCAACAGCCCCGATATCCCAACGCTTAACTCACGGATCAATGCGAATAGCGGTGTTTCGCAACGTGATCAGTTGCGAGTGATGAGTGCTTTCCGTGAAGGTGTGTTTAACACCCTTGTGTCTACTTGTGTCGGTGAGGAGGGCTTAGATGTTGGACAGGTAGATCTTATTGTCTGTTTCGATGCATTCAAATCCCCTATTCGACTGGTACAGCGTTTGGGACGTACCGGACGTCAGCGGTATGGCCGCATTGTGATGCTGTTAACCGAAGGTAGAGAGGAGCGAAACCACCAAGTGAGTATGGCTCGAACTACATTGATTCACAAGGCTTTAATTGAAGGGGGAGCTCTAAACCGTTTGGCGTTCTATCCACACAATCCACGAATGGTTCCTATCGGTATCACTCCTCTGGTTCACTTTCAAAACCTGAACTCTATCCACTCCTTATGCAATGAAAGCTCAGACGACCATCTAGTAAAGGAACATTCATCTAAACGGAAATCCACACGTTCGTCGAAAATGCGAAGAACTGCTAACGGCTTGATTGATTCTGTTCGTTCTCACGTGGAAGCTGTCGGATTGGGGAATCTGAATTTGAATCTGACACCCATTGGCCCTGGCTCTCTTCTCTGTTTGGATAACTCGACAACTACGGTGGCGAAACCGCGCTTCACAGACTTGTTCAACGTTACCTGTCCAAAGCGGTTGAATGCAGCTTGTGAACAATTGCAAGCGGCTAGATCTGGTTCGGGCACTTTCGGGCCAGCAACTTCGACTCTGCATCTGATCTCCATCCTACGATTATGCGAACTTCACCGTCGTGGTCTGACCCGTCTCTCGTACCATGCCCTCGGCCTACGGTCAGTGGATGTAGAAACACCTCTCTCGCGTTTGGTTGCCGAATCTGATCCGCCAGTCACTAACAGTCCAAAAACGCCTTCTCCAATGGTCATAAAAACCTCAACTGCAAAGGAATCAGGCAGTTCTGATTTAGTTGGGCAAGATAATCGCTCCACCGAATTGAACACCATTTCCTCAACCTTCACTTTCCCCCGCATAATTCGGGGTCTTGTTTCCAATTCGTTTTTCTTCGACCAGAATGTAGACCGGACATGGGTTCGAAACATGGAAAACACCGTTCTCCATTTCCGATCACTATCCGAAAATGAAAACGCTCGAATCGACTTGCCTGGTTTACAGAAGGCATGGACCCAACATGAAGCTAACGTGGTTGACTGTTTGCTGCCAATTTGCCGACAGGAACGGTGTTTGCCTTTAGTCACCCCCATTGCTCCAATAGACCATTTAGAGCAATGGGTTGGTGGGGGGCTATTAGAAGCTATTGCGAATGCTTCCGACAAACCTGATGGAGGATGCCAGCCTCATATCGCCGCTTCCCAGGATACTCCTAAGCGACCTTTTATGAGTCCCAAAAGGATCTTAGATAGTGAACGAGCATCGGCTTCCTTATGCTTGAAATCTCCTGTTGATTTAACTGTTTCGAACATTGTTGCCCGAAGCACTCCTTGTGTAAAACTCCAAAATCAACATAGCCGTTTGGTGCCATCAAGTGTTGGATTGGAGCGGAACACTAACACCCAGATCAAGCTGGAGGAAGCTCTTGCTTTGCTAGATCGCTCGACAATTCGGCTGGATGCTTCGACGCTGTTGTTGGAAGATGACTTAGTGGAACCAGCTCCAAATTTGACAGAACTGCGTAGTGTAGTATTCCCGGGCACACGATGTCTTTCTTCGTCCGACAAACTCCAGTTTGACACCAAACTTTCGCTGGGTGAGGATTTTGGTGAAGATCTGCTCATCCAGTCTCAAAACATTGAACCCACCGACCATCAATCCAACCATGGACAGTCTCCCTTCTGTGGATCACAATCGCCCGAACACCTTTCGTCCTTTGAACTACCTTCCCAGATAGCTTGGTCCCCAGTGGGCTTTGGAGAGACTACTCCGCGTGCGGTAGAATCGGTTTCTAGTTCTGATGAATCAACACCAATTGTGCCTCCAGTTCATCTTTCTGCAATCCCGACAAATCTGGATTCCCCCATAGTCCCCCCGCGTCATCGCGCAGAAAATACCAAACGGGCACGTCATCTTTTGCAAACACAACCGACTAATCGTAGTTCGAGACGTCCGTTGTATGTTTCCGGTCGTCAGTTCTTACTGACTCAAGCCAATGATGGAAGCCATCCCGGCTTAGGGGACTCGGAAACTTTATCCTCCGATGGTTACGAGAACAGTTTCATTGATGACAGATCGTCTCAGCTGGATGTCAGTTCAGGTCAAACACTATCAAGTGGTCTCGGCAATTCTGATATGTTATCGGTTTACCTGCGAACTACCCGAAGTCCCCTACGTAGTGCATGCGTCCCGTTAAGTAAATTAATCCAGGGTCCCCAGCATGTCAAAAACAGAACTCTTGCCTTGAACTCACGATCCATACAATCCACGTCCACAAAAGAGGGTAGTCCAGAAATTAGTGGTACTATATTCCACTGTTTGAAACCGAAAGATCACCTGATCTATTCACAAGTGAGTTTATTATGCTCGTTGAACCATTAGTGACATTTTTATTTCCGTTCTCAGTAACTACCCTTCGAAATCATTTAGATTTATGTATCCTCACAGGGGTTCCTCTCGTTTTATTTACCAATCCATTTGGACTGTTTGATTGCATAACATTGTTTGTTGACCAGCAAGGGTAATCCCGATTGTCAGTCATGGAAACGACCAACTTATGTTCGGGATTCGGGGTCTCAAGCAACATAAGGCCCCTGGCAAAAGCATGGTGTCGAGGCGGACGACCGCGATTTAATCTGCTTGGCCACCGCCACCATCATTTTTAGTCTTAGTGGCTTCCGGTATTTTACATGGCTGCTCATTATTACCGGTACTGTTCAACCATGCTATCAACTGGATAATGTTATTGCTATTATATATATATATATATATATATATATATATGCAGTCACCGGCTTGCGAACAAGCATGGTGACAACGCAGCAACAATAACGGAAAGCCCGGGATCGGGATGTAAAA